AGTAGAATTTGAAAGTTTTGAAGTCCCGACATGAATACTGAAAATCATAAATTTGACTGCAATATTCATTCCTAAAAAATCACTTCATGAGCAACAGCTAAATTAGTTTTTTTATTGCATTTTTTTAAGATGTACAATTGCATACATATCTTATGTGTAAACACTATATACGTGAGGTGTTAAGTCCCGACAAAGGTGTTACCGAAATCAAAATTAAAGCCAAAAAATCTTTTTTAAGCAATAGGCTCAAAGAATTTATGATCTGGGTATAAACATTTCCAAGCATTCTTATATATTTTCATGCTTGTTGTTCTCATATGTACTAATTTAGAATAGGATTTTGATGTAACAAAAAATTGAAGTAATTCAAAATGACCGTAACAAATCATTGGTAACTTTTCCGAGCAGTTTTATAATTATTTTCGTACTTGTTTTCATATGTACTAATTAAATAGAATTTTGATGTAACAAAATATTAATTAAAAGTAATTCAAAATGACCACTGACAATTAAATTGACAAGTCATTGGTAACTATAAACAATAGATATACCATATTGCAGGAGTCAGTGGTGTTAATATTAACAAAGATTGATCACGCACTATACGAGTAAGTAGTTACCACTTTCACCATCAGGTAGCTCGTTCGGGTCAGATAGCATGGTGGGTATAGTAGAAAGTTCACTTTAACTTAAATTACATCTGATTTAATGGTTCAATGTATCTAATAGTTATGCAAAATAAAATATGCCCAGTAAAAGAAAATGTTACCTATCCAATACAAGAAAAGATATTTCACTTTTTGTAATTTTGAAACATGGGGTCTATGGGGAATCAACCCGAACTAGAAAAAAAATTCAAAGTTTATAAACAAATTCCGAAACCATATTTCATTATTTCTAGATGTACTTTTACATGTAGATTTCAAATATGACATCACTTAGACTGAATTTTCAATAAATGTCGTAAATCAAGATTATTTCAACTCGCATCCTAGTCTGTTGCACGATAAATAAGAACTGCGATATATTATGAGTCATTTCTATGACAACCTATGCTAAGTTAAAACTTCAATTGGGAAATGTAGGGATAAAGAAATATTGTGAAAAGATTAAAAAAATACTCTCAACGGCCTCGGGTCTTTGTTGATCGATTAAAGGACAGTAAAGTATTAAAAAGAACTGCGCTAGATTCTCGTAAATCAATCACGAAATTAGAAAATGCGTGAACAAAATCCCATTAATACATCAACTGTCACTCAGTAATTTGAAGGCATGGGCTAAAAGTGTGACAAAAATATCATGATACTTGCCGTAAACAGTTTGCTGGGAGATTGCAGTAATTTTCATAAATTCTCAATGCCCGTCCCCTTAAAGTAACAAATCTCACCGGACAAAACAAATAGATAACTAGTCAGTTTCAATATTTATGAGAGAAATGCCCAGCCAGTAGTTCTCTCTCATTTTGTTAAAATCTCCATCCACGGCGATGTGACATAATAGAAATTCCTTCTCGAGTTATGGCCCCGTGTCCATAAAGCATCTACGTTAAAAATTTGGACCAAATCTGACAATTGATATTTGAGTTATCAAAATTGAACTTATTAAAGGAAAATGGCCTATTTTGAATAGAGAATGACACGTGGTGATCAAATATCCAGTCTTTGAATAGAATGGACAGTTAATGGGACGAAAAATTCAAAATACTACCTTTACATTTACCCTAAATGCCCAAAACTAACCAACTCTTAACTTGCATGAGAACTATTTCAAATCAAACTCCTTGGCTTGAAACGTGGACAGGATTTTATAAAGGATGACAATCTGATATTCGCAATCTTAATACTAAGCCGGAATGCCCAAAAACTAATCACTTCTAGACTTTCATACCAAGAAACATAAAACTTTAGGATGAATCCATCAGACGGTTTGGCTGGAACGTGGAAACAAGACTTCAAAGAAAAATTCAAGTGTGGAAAATCTGAAGATAACCGCCTTTATATTCACCCATGAAGCCTGACAACTTATAGTTCTAGATTTCATACAAAGAAGTATCCCTAAAATTTGAAATCAATCCGTCAAACGGCTCGCCTGAATATGCAGACAAAATCAAGTGATACGCCCTCCTACCCGCCCATCCGGCAACCTTATCACAATACAGCTCCCAAGGGTGCGATAAAGCAGTGCCATAGATTATTGAAGTTCAGGTTTGGTTAGCACAAATCAGTTAATACACACACATACACATCTATAGTTGGATTAATACTTTCAAAAGTTCTAACATTTAATAAACACATGATTCAAACATATTTATAAACAGGAATGTGTTTTATCTTTATTTTATAATAAGAAATATACAACTAAATCCAAAGAAAAAACATGTAGTTTCATTACTGTAACTTGCTTTAATTCAATTAGCTAGATGCGAGTAGAAATAATCTTGATTTACGTCATTAAATATTTAAAATTCTGTCAAAGTGACGTCAAATTTGAAATCTGCATGTAAAAGTGCATGTAAAAGTACATCTAGAAATATGGTTTCGAAAATTGTCTATCAACTTTGAAAATTTATTTTTTTTTGAAAATGTGACTTCTTGTTCGGGTTGATTCCCCATAGACCCCCCATGTTAAAAAAATCACAAAAAGTAAATTATCTTTTCTTGTATTGGGCAGACAGCATTTTCTTTTACTGGACACATTTTAATTTGCATAACTATACATAAGGGTTATATGAAAATTGAACCACGCAAATAGATGTAATTTAAGTTAAAGGGAACTTTCTACTATACCCGCCATTCTATCTGACCCGAACGAGCCACCTGGTGGTGAATCTGGTAACTACCTACTCGCATCTGCGTTATTGACATAAATACTTGTAATTTGACTGATTTCTCATTTTGATGACTTTCTCTTTGGCTTATTTGCTTTAATCTCAATATTTACATTTTCATTCATTCCAACATTCAAGGAAATGATGTGTGAGAGGGAGGCAAAATGAAGAACTTGGCAATACTAGGATAATGAATGATAGGTCTGACCTGGGGGAGGGATCCATGAGTACAAGAACAAATTCTTGTGGATGTATCTTTTCGTCAAAGATTTGAACTGGTGAACTTTCAAATTGCCAAAATAAGTCATAAAAAGTAGATGCCTAATCAAGTTACATTGTAATGTATAATATATCAAATGCTGTTACATACTTGTACATGTAAAAATGAAAAATTCAACATTTTTTAACTATATGTTAAGACTCAATGCAATACCTATATATGAAAAAGTATTAAATATATTTTGAAATGTACAAGTAGTCATCATGACAAATAATTTCCACTGTAGCTCAAACACATATTCATATAAAAATAAAAAGTGTAAAAGTCATTTACGATCAAAATAATATGACCAAAAAATGTGAAAAATAAAAGCAAAATGATATACATGCAATTGATTAAAAATCATTCATGTACCTTTAAGTAACTATCAGTGTTTGAATCTGATATCTTGCCTAAACCTGAACTTTAAAACAGAACTTTATTTGAACAACTCTAGGGCTAAATAAATAGAGTATTACAATACACTGGCTAAATACTTTAGATTTCATCTCTGTAATATGCAAATTACACAATCATGTAGATATAACATTAAACAGGCTGATGAGAGTATTTGAGAATATGTTGAACTTTTAAAGAGATGAATGCAAAACTACAGCACAGCATATGCCTGTTAAACTGCAGAATATCAAATTATAATCATCATACTAATATATAATAATAATAACAGAAATCCCCCAGAAGTTGAACACATCTGTACGTTGAACACCTCCATAAGCTGAACACTTTCAAAAGTCCTACTAAACATTAACTTCATGTTAAATCAACCTCTCAAATGAAACACCTACGTGGAGCTCTATTTTGAGGTACCACAAATGCTCTAGTTACACGGGTTTCACTGTACTGTGCAGTGCATATAGATAAATGCCAAATATCAGAAGTACCATAATGACAATACATGTATCTGATTTGCCCAATAGACAAACAGTACACAGCATGCCTTATACGGATTGATTATATATGTAACATTAAATAAAGCATTAACATGCAAAGTGTAACCACCTGCCATTTGTTACGCTGACACAAACAGCTGAACACCAAACAACGTAACAAAAAAGTTTCCAACGTACACAAAAAAGTAGGGAGTCTAAAAAGATATGTCACCAGTTTTGGCAGTCACATTAAAATGAATATGTTGAAAATTACTGTTATAATAATTTTTGCACAGCACAATACAGAAAATAAATTCTTACAGTAAAAGTTATTCTAAAAAGGGATCCACCAAAATGCATATCATCATTACCTCATTGTCTTGAACAAGCATATGAAACAAAATAACCTGCTTTTAATATCCTTTCTCAGGCTAATTGGGATTATTTAATATGCATGTATCTGAGCCTCATTCGGGGGTGTGAATATTTTCTGCACTTTTTCTTCTCCCTTTATTTCCCGGGTAATACCCGTGTCACTTTCATGCCTTCAGATAACAATTAAGTAGGATGTCCATTGATAAAATGATCATGATATAACACCCAAAGGTGCAACAAAAATCTTATATACAAATCGTTTATAGGATTAGTAGTTTCTTTGGCTCAAAGTCTTGATTGCATTTATGAAACTGAGGCAAACAACTTAATATAATATAAAAATATTACAATATGAAATCTTTGAAATGAATTGAAAAGAACTGATTGAAACAGGCTCTTTACTTTCGTTCAAAATTTCCATCTTGAGATCAAAAAATGACTGAGGCAAAATTACAAAATTGCATCCACTCAGTGGACTCCTTTTCTAGTTTTATTTAAAAATATGCAAATTAGGAGTTCTCTGTGATTTCTTTTGCTGCTGGTAACACCATTGCTTTTATCAGGTCCTAGAGTATCTCAGTTTCAACAATTAATGTACTGTTACTGTATAATTAACATAGCACTGAAGTCGAGAGTTGTCCTGTCATCATACCAAAATAAGGACACATATATTGTACATACTTAAGTCTTAGGCTTAAAAATTGTAAGCTTATATTATATTAATGCATATTGGTACACAAATATTCCCTTTGGTATAACACACAGATCTCAATTGTGCCATCTCCATATTTGAGAGCTTCAATAATTGCTTATACATTCTTGAAGATCATTTGGCATTTTGTTTGATGCATGGAACTTTTCAGCACCCCATGCTTCCCATAATGTAATCAAATTGACCTCCATCATCGCCACAGTGCCCTCTCGTGCACATGTTACATATACAACTGATATTAACACATGTCTATCAGAAACGAGCTTCATCTTGTCAACATGGCTGAATGTGTAACCAGGAATCTGTTGAACAGTTAAAGTAGAAATAACCTGGCCGTATTTGTAGCCCAATTCCTGATTGTTACTCAATGAAACAATGAGGATATCATTGGAGAATCGCCTCCCTACCCACAGTGTATCCTTAACAATTACACAAGCCATAACATCCTGATGGGTCAAATCCATAAAGAGACTATCCATCACTTCATCTGATTTATCAGCCATTGATTTAATTGGCTTAACTCTGAGGGCCTGGCGAGAGTCAGCTCTCCTGTTTACAGAGCCATCTATAGTATTTGATTTTCTACACCTCATTGTTACTTCCGGGTCGATGGATTGCTTTCTGAGGTGAGCACTCTGTAGTTCATCTTCAACTCTTTCACTTTCATTTTCTATGTTAAACTTTGCAATAGCTTTTTGCACCTTGGACATAGAATGATCTTGTTTTAATTCAGTTACCATGGCAACAGGTAATCTTTGGTGTTGAGATGGGCTTTCATGAAATCTTGAATATGTTTCAAAGGATTCCTCATCTGATGCATTTGTTATAAAATCATAACTGTCAAAATCATCATCATTACTGCTATCAGTGTCGGTATAGTAACCAGATGCTTTTGATTTGTCTCCATGGTTACCATCATTTGGGTCTGGTTGGGACTCAGGGCTAGAAATGTCAGAGGTTTGTTGATTTTGGGTGTTGATAGGCACTGCTATTACTTTCCCCTTGTGGGCATCTTGACATTGGAATCGACACACTGCTTGGCATGAATCAATCTGACATTGGACAATATCCTTCATGCGACGACAAACACAAAATACTGATCCATTATACGTTAGGAACTGAGATATTATATGGGTGCCTTTGTAAGAAACATCAATGGTAGCTTGGTGCTCTAGGGAATCCGAGTCCAGCACAACAACACTGCCCCCAAAGCTAACCCAAAGTTTACTTCCATTTTCCACAAGCTGCATACATTTCACAGACTTGTGAGGAACATCAAGTTCTACACATAAATTCTTTGTAGTGAATAATCGCCACTTTGGTAGTTGTCGACTCGCACCTTCTATCACAGTTGACTCGCGTGATTTACGATGCTTGATATCCTGACTCAGGGTTACATTGTGTGATATTACAGGTTGAGAGCTGGGGATGAAGATAGAGATGGTTCCATCTGCTCCAGACACAAACACCTTGTCTCTGTCATCATTATCCTGGTAAATAAACATGAACTTTATATTAACCCATGTACTGGAAATTCAGATGAAGTCCTTAATCATGTTAATTGGACAAATGTAAGAATGACCCACAAGTAAATTAAACGGCCTAAATCAAAACAAGGTTACTGTCATCTATACAAGTATCTCTGTATATAATGATAGTGCCTCGTGAAGTCAGTCAACACATCGAACATTATCATACATAAAAAACAAAAATAGCCAGCTTAAGATTTAGAAAATGAGAGTAATTACCATAGTCTCCTTATGAAGAATGTCCAGAGGAATACTTGGGACTGGCAGGGGTTCATAGGCACATTTCAGAGATCCATCTTTCAGAATGGTTAAGATTTCTATCTGGCATCTCTGAAAATGTAACATTGTTTTATATTGAATATTAAATTAAACTATTTTTCATAAGGGTTTCATTTTTCTAGAAATACTAAAGATTTCCAGCTTATGCTGTAGAGCATAGTGTCTGGGAGGTCCTAGGTTGAATTCTCACAACTTATGTTGATTTTGGATTAACTTAATTTCTGTCTTCCTACTATTTGTTCCACTACAAAGTATAGTTTGCTTCATATAGGGTAAACAGCGATAGAAATAATGTTTATATAAAGAGGGCGGGTCAATCTATCTGTGTTTATACTTCTCTTTAGATTAATAGATCCAACGCTACTGCCATCTTTATATTTGTCCCAAAACTTACAATTTGTTCTTTAGGGAGTTGATTTTTTCCAAAGGGCGACCTCAATTTTTTACAAACCCTCCCTCAAATATAATTTTCTTTTGAAAACTGATCAGAACTGGAAAAATCACTCAGTTTGTCACTTTAAGCATAGGCTTGAAGTACATGTATGACGTACCTCAGTTCCGAGCCAAATATAATTGTTCACCCTGTGACAACACTGGGCCTCAGCTCCAGGATGAGTATGCTGGTCCACTCTGTTGTTCTGAGCAAGGTTCACACTGTATACTGTCCTCATTTCCTCTGAACCACTCCACATCAAGACAACCTGCTGACGCTGGCTCTGAAATGATACAAGTGATAACCTTTTGCTAAGGGGCTCAGAATGGTGAAAAACTGCATGATTTTGAAATAATTTTTGGTTTCACCCTGGCCGAAAATTCTCTTCAACCCCCCACCCCCCCGATGGCCATATACAAGATGCTTTAACGTTAATACATTCCCTTTATATAAGATAAGTAAAGTAAGTAATTATATGGATATGCATATTTTCAGTCAATAATGTATGGAGCTACATTTATGTTGTCTATCTACTTTTGTGTGCTTAACATTCATAGACTTTCAAGTTGTATAGTAATTCTCTACTTGCAACATTTAATCAATGCTGACTTACCATATGGGGAACATAAATACAGGTTACTTTGGAGAAAACTCCAGCAGATGGCAGCACGTTAGTTTGACACAAAAAAGATGGCACTCTCATGGTTTGGTACACATCATTTGCTGAAGGTCGCATTTCGGGGTCATGTGACCAACATTGTTCCATCAGCCTCTCAAGACCCACCCAAGAACTGATCACCTTGTCTCTCTGGATGAATATAAACAGGTTTCTACATTACATAAGATATCTGTGAGCATGTATAAACAGAACAACTTCAACCGATGAGTTTAAGTTTGCCTCTAGAGATGAGTAAGCATTTCAGCATTTTGAGCATGTTTTGTAAAATGGCCAAGACCAATGAAACTTGGTATAATGAAAGAACACTGAACAATCAAATGACAAATTGTACCACATATAACCTTAAACTGATGCTAAATGACTGAGTTATTTACATTTGTTTGGGTTATCCTTTTTTGGCTCAACCTGTATTATCAGTTTTATAGCACATTGGTATTTGGCCTAACGTATTGGGGTATACCTGTAAAGAAGGTCTGGCTCTGTCCCTAGTTGCCTTTCTGATTTCCACCACATTGTCTAAGTTGTGGTAGGGCCTGTAGCCAGTTAGACTCTCATACATCACCATTCCAAGTGAGTAGATGTCAACCTGGGGGACAAATGAACATATTAAATCAATGAAGGGTCAACAGTTATCATGGAATAAAACATGTACTTTACCTGGAAAACAATTTAAGGCTGACGGCTGAACGGATTGTGGTTGGTTTAAGCACAATGTTCTCGGACAAGATACTTTAAATGAGGGTGGTAGTCAAAGTTCAAAGACAAGCAAACAAACAATTAATGCATTTTATCACCCATAATCAATTGAATCATGACTTGTGCTTATATTTAGAAAATGATGAAATTTCATTGTTCATTGCTTATCATTGTTATTACTATATATATGAGTAATTTTTCACTCAATGTTCAACATTTTCCATCATTGCAATTTTCCTTAATCTATAACCATACAACTGTTGTTAAATATAGGATGACTTTACTATGTTCTGATTGACAAGAGTAAAATATATATTAGGCTTAGCTATCTGTGACATTATTATGATGTTTTCAAGTTTGTAAGACTATACCTGACTATCATATGTCATCCCTGGTTGCACTTCGGGAGCTTGGTACCCAGTGGTACCTTCAGCTCCACGGACCCCTTGAAGTGTATTAAAACAAGATATTCCATAATCTGAGATCTTCACATTGACTGTGGCATTTTCATCAAGGCTGCAAACTAGTATGTTGTCTGATTTCAGGTCTCTGTAGATGACATTCTGACTGTGAAGATACACCAAGCCACTTGTTAACTAGAAAATACCAAACAAAATCATGTATGTATTTGAGTGGCCTATTAGATTGTGATAGCAGTTTCACTAACATGGTGACGATGTGTAAACACGATACAAAAGACACGATGTATTTGTTTTTCCACAATAAATTAGCTATAAAATATTTAATTGACGACTCTATAGTTTAAAGGTTCTTCGACTTTGTATAGTGTATAAAATAAGTTATTTGTTGTAATTAAAAAAGGTTTACAGTAGTTGTGGTATTTCTATGAATGCAAAAAGTGGGTAGATCTTATCAAATAAATGTCCAATTAGGATTAAAAATGAATTGTAATCAAATCATGCCTGCCATATATTTATATCAGTACTGAAAGTGTAACATCCTTAACAAGACTGAGAGACTGGGCATGTAAGTCATGGCTATAATGCCATATATGCAATGTTGATGTGAGAGAGTCATTCAGCTCCTACCAAGTGGTAGGGCACCTGACATGTAATTGGCAGGTATTGCTAGATATAAGAAAGTAACTACCCACTGCATGTCTTTTAGCATTTGAAGTTCAAAATTGATTCCTAGATAATGTAAATGTGCCACATTATAATGTTAGCTTTATTTTAAAATGCCACTTATAGATAACGACAAATGATACACAACTGATTGTTAAAATGTAAAACCCAAGCAAGTTTTTTCTTTCATGTTATATATGTAAATTATCCATGTCATCTTTGATTATACACAACACATAAACAACATTGATTAAACTTAATAACAATGTTATATCATTCCATCCAAGTTTTAGCCGAAAATATAACTTTGACAATTTGATCCTGGGCATTTTTATTATTGACAACGGCTGATTGACATATATTCATCTTAAATGTAATAATAGGTTACCCAAGACCCAATTGTCCTTTTCTATTAGAAATTGGTGTGAAAATTAATTAGTTTAAAGAAAAACAAAAATCAGTTCATTACACCAAATAAACATATAATTTACTGTTACCAATCTCCGAGATGTTTGCAGGCTGTAAGAACAACAATGTAAATGGATATTTAAACAAGGCATTAACATTCAAAGTATCACCACCTGCCATTCGTTACAGATGCCAACTACCGAATGCCAAACAGTGTCCACATAATAATTGGAGACTATAACAATATGTCACCACTTCTGGTGGTGATATAAGAACACAGCAATAAATTATTTTGTAGGTACTTGGTCTAAAAAGCCTTAATCAGGAGATCAGATAAAGAGTTTTTCTATTTTCATGTTAAAAATATTTTTAATTTCTATAAGCATAGGCTTTTTTCTTCTGGAATTATGTAGCATATCTAAAGCCCACTCAGTGCATACATTCCCTTGGTCAGAGTGTATAAATCTTCTTCAGGATGAACTCTCTAATGTTAAAACCATCCTATTAATACGGTATATATTTCTTATATATTACCTGTAGAATCAGCTTATAAGTGAGTGTACGGTTAAAGATGATTTCTCTCTGATTATCCAGTTGTTTCATGGTATCCAACATATTCAATTCCTTATCCAGAATGCCCCTGAGGCTTCCTAAGGGGGCTAACTCCAGGGCAAAGCAGAGAGGCCTGATACAGACCCCCACCAGGGCAACAATACAGGGATGATGGAGCTGCCCTAATAGGCTCACCTCTTGTCTTAGATCATTAAAGCATTTTATCACCTGCAAGTACATTATAACATAAGAAATATCATGAGTTTCTTTTCCTTAAAAGAAGCTCACTTACCTCTAGCTCTGTATTGATCGGTTTTAGTCAAGCAATAATTTTCTCACTAAAACCTATGTTATTGAAAGTCTACATCCACATGTATGGTATAATTAGAGGTTATGTCACTATCGTTGCATATATGCCCGAGGGTTTCAGTGATATATGGCCCGACCTTGGGAGGGACATTGATCACTGAGAACCGAGGGCATGTGTGCAACTATAGTGACATAAACGATTTATAACATACCTATGATGATCTAGTCTGGTCAGAGAGTACCGTTTTCTTATCTAACTGACTAGCAATGGTTCATAAATGATGATGTATTCTTATGTTTGTATCTTACGAATGTATGAGTCAATTTGACCTAGTCCTAATGTATGACGTAGTAGTCCCAGCGCTTGACCAATCAGAAAGTTAGCGGGCGCTGGCTTTTTAAAAGTTATATTGGCCCGTTGTCTTGTGAACAGTTTACACTATACATCATCATATGTATGTTATAATAGGATGTTTGTTCTTATTGAAGTAATATATGTAGAGGTTGAGTTGCTTTATTGTATACTGTGAATGATAAACACCCATTTGCTATTATCTACAGAAAGTATGTTTATTGTATAAAGAAAATACTCTACACTCTAGTATATATGATGTATATCCTTATTTATCTAAAAACATGGACTATGTCATTTCATACATGATGACATTATGGCTACATTGCCAACAAGCATTTCATGTGAAAAAGAAGAGTACCTTGGCCATGTGCAGCTGATTCTCTATACTCTCAAATGCATTTTCATCAATGCTGCCACGTCCACTGTCTACTGACTTGTGTGACTTATCAGATGATGGTTGCAGGTAGTCCTGGGGTATGATGTCTAATAGTTTGCTGTTGATGTTACTGCTGTGGTATTGTTTAACAGCCACAGTCACCTACATACATGTACAGTACATAAATTGAGTGGTCACATTTGCTCCGATCTTCAACACTAGTGCCTGGCCTAGAGTATATTTTGCCCATAACTAGTATAACTAGTCCAAATATCTCAAAGTATGATATTACACACAAAGGAACAAATCACCGTCTTGCCAACTTTTGAGAACAGGTATGACAATTCAAAAAAATCACAAGACCATGGAACATTTCATTCTACATTACCTTATCATATGTGCCTTTATAGACCCCACCTTCGCCACCCTCTCCTAAACAAGTCTCATCAGTAGCCCTGTAGTCCAGTTTATCAACATCCAAAAGAAACTTCTTGGGCAGGTCATGCAGCATGACATCAGGGATCAAATGACGTAAAGGCACTGGGGTGTCTGGGTGCATCCTACAGTACATGTGGTCATATTCCAGTAGAACCAGGACGCACATTGTAAAATCTAGCAGTTCGACCTACAGTATTATTTTACAAATACATAAACATTATACACTTGTAGAGGCTTTGCTGAAGGCATTATCAGCCACTTGATTAATAATTGCAGGGTGAAGAAAAAATAAATAAATAAATATGGACTCAAGAGTGAAGTGAGTGGTGGCAGGGAAACCTACACATTTGCACATTTTTCTAAAAATGATGCAGTGAGCTTGAGAATTTTCAAATTAGTGGATTTACTTAAGTTTGAATCCCCATAAAGAAGTACTTCTACTTTGTCCCTCTTGTGTTTAAAATGAGAAAAACCAAAATTAAGAATAGCTAAATTGTTTTCCAACTCTTCTAAAAATGGAACACGAAGTATACAGGAACAAATAACAGATGTGACTTAAAAATTAAGTCTCAACGAAAAATGTTAAAACATATACTCTGTCAACAATCATGACATACAAAAATATCAAATAAACATCCACATATGGATGTGGCATTATCATTGTCAATTAGATATTAACCTGGTGCAGTTTCCATTCAGGGTGCAACTTTGTGCACATGTAACAAGGGACTAGTTTCTCAACCAACATCTGACCTGAGCAGTCTCTCACATCAAGCCCTGGAAGATAACAGTTATAGATGTATTATTTTATTGGAAAGTAAACGTCAGGAAGAACACATGCCTATACTTCTTTATCCGTACTTTTGTGCGTATTTGATGTATGTATTCATTAATTTATTAAAACGATCAATGCAGCCCTGAATAAAGTACAGTAAAACCTGTGAAGTGGAATACCACTCTAAAAGGAATACCTCCATGAGCCTAAAACATAAAGGCCCGATAACAAATTTATTTAATGTAAAATGATCCTATTTAATATGCATAGGAACACCTTATTTTAGCACATTATCTTGAGGTTCCTCAAGTGTTCCACTGACACATGTTTTAATGTACCCTTCTTTTTTAACACACTCCTTGATGAGCATCTACAAGTATATGGCCTACTGAACTCACCAGGGTACCATTCTTTAATGAGTGTATCTATATGGTCCACAATCATGCCCATGGGGCTGAAGTCATCACAGTTGGTGGAGACAGTGATTTTAATTCCATTAATGTCATCGCCTGGACAACAGTGCAGATCTTCTACTGTGAAATATCCATCCTTATGGCTCACCCTAAGGCCCTTGTCCCAGAATGTATATGTTCGTTGTCTCAGGTAAAAGCCACGATTGTCACTTGGTTTTCTACACCTGTGTGGGAATCAATATATATTTATCTCTTATCTCATATACTATAAGGGACAAGCCTAATTTTTGGTATTTTCAAAAATGTAATAATTTTTCGACAAACTTCAAAATTTAATATATAGGTCAATATTCTCAACCCACTCACTTGTTATAGGCACAAGTTACAAAGCCCCAAAACAATTAATTAAATGTGAAGTGAACTTATACATAAAACAGATTCATAATGTAGGCATTCAAATAGTATGTCAATTATTTATACAAACTTACAGTGTCTGATTCCATGATTTTGATAGTCCTAAATGCTTCATCTTTTCTGTCGATGATCGTTTTTTAAATGTGGATTGTTTTGAGAACTTCTTGCTATTTTTTACCCAGAAAAGCAGTCTGGTGACTAGCCTACTCCAGAATCCACTGGGGATGTATGCCATCTTGTAGATTCGGAGAAGTTTCTCTTCCTGGTCACTAACACTACTCATTGATCCAATGCTAGGTTTACCACCAAGTTTTGATGGGATAAGCAGGCTGAAATAGTGTTAGAGAATGCATAAATGGCACCAAATACAATTTACATGATAGAGTGTCAATGATGTGGAACAGATTTATAATATATAATATTTATTTAATACTTACAGAAGTGTGTATGTGAGGTATGACTGTTCCACTGAGAAATGTGAAAATCATCCTTTGAACCTATCCCAATTACAATTACATGTCATCCAAGATAGTTTGGCCAATTTTTCTACAATGACACTACATTTCCAGATGGTCTGGGTTTGAGTCCCTGGAAAATCATTTAACCACCTTGGGCCTGAACGCTGTCTTGTTGTGCCTAATATAACATTACCTGTCTGCGTCTAATTGTAGAGCAATATCAAAGCGTTCCATCAACTGAACATATTGAGGTAACAACTTTGCTGGGAACCGTCCATCCTTGAAAAGATGTTGAGCAGCATCAGATTTCTTGAGTATTCCACCTTGTACAAATGTATGCACACCCTGTAACATCATTATAATCCTCTATGTATGAACATTTCAAACATTTATTTAACCTAAACTCACTGGGCCATTCTCAACAAAAAATTAGGCAATGCCAACATGTACAGTAGCAAATCCAAATATTGATTTTTATAAAATATATTTTAAAAATTATTTATCTTATTTTGTTTGGAAAATGTTCAGGATAGACTTTTTGCAAAACCATATAACTAACTTCAACAAAAGAAAAATCAAATCTTACATCAATGGTGATAATTTTTGCCAACATCTCTGCAAACCAACATGGGTCGATAAAGAAAAGAGAATTCAAGCCCCGGAGCTCCTCGTTAAAATGCAGGAGAACACCATTCTCATGGAGAAACCTAGCAGCTGTAATGAATATTGAAAAATATGGGTTCAGTTTAACATGTGTATGGTAAAACAGTTGTACAGATTAACACGTGTATGGTAAAACATTTGTATGGTAAAATATGTGATAATCAGTACATTTGAACATTAAAATATTTATTTGTGAACATTTGCACAGGAAAACCTTTGTGTATTAAAATATTGTACAGTAAAGCATGTTTACAGTTAAACATTTATACAGCAACACACATGAATGTACATGTGTTCAGTGAAACAGTTGTACAGTAAAACATGTTTACAGTAAAATATTTGTTAAAACGTGTGTTCAGTACATTTTGTGCAAAAAACATTTGTACAGCAAACATTTGTTCAAGTAGAGAAGAGCAAGGTACAGGTAGCCTAAGTATTCTATCTTGTAAATAATTTACTCTGCAATGTTATTCATACTTCCAATAATTGAAATGTGTGGGTACTTGAAATGTAATAATTTTATTGTGTGGGTGGATGGAATTTTCAAACAGTGAAACCTGCAATGTTAAACACCTCTAGAGGTGAAACATTTTTCAGAGTCCCAAGACCACCTGACTTAATGTCAAATGAACCTACATAAGTGGAACACCTCCAGAATGGAACACATTTAGAGGTACCAAAGGTGTTCCACTTAGACAGGTTTTCCTGTATTTAGCTTGTTTAGTTGTAAAATAAGGTTCACAACAACGGTGATAAGCAAAGCTCCGTAGTTAAGTTACACGTCCCAATTGAGACTCTTTGAAAATATCAACTCCAGCTTAGTCTCAGGTTTTATTTCTTCAGAAAGTTGTCCTTATCATGGTTTATCTGTTACATGTACCTAACATTAGTTCCTCGTGGCTGTTGATGTCATTCCCAGGTGTGTTGTGAGCCAAGGCTTTAAACTCTTCCTCATTGAGGACAGGTGGCTCCTCATTGTGAATCCTCCTTGATGATTCACTTAACACAGTGTCCCTTAGTTTCAAGTAGCTCTTTGGTACCTGCAAGTTTTAAAGTTACAAGAAATATTTCAATAACAGTTCCAAATTAACATTTTACATGTGCATACATCAATTCAAATGGTTTCATGGATGCTTATCTAATATAATAACTATTGAGTATTCAGTTATAAGCTTTAAAATGATACCAAATACATGTATGTCTCTACTCCTTTGATTAAAATGGTAACGCAAAGGCCTTGGAATAAATTTTACAAACTGGTTTCTTAATTCCCTTAATAATAAAAACACATTGATCTTCATGAGATATAAAATAAGGTAGCTAGAACAATACTAACTTATCCTCAAAAGAAACCCATTCCTTCTTATAAAAAAACATTGTCTTCATTTCTTTTATTACAGACACATACAAATGCTCTTCTATTCACTCATTCAATAAGCACAGTTAGATTTCAGGCCCTGATGTCCAAAAAGCATGTGATCCTTTCATATCCTAATCCATGAAAAAGATGTGCTATGTTACATGCAATTGTTAGTAGCATCAAACTATATTATGATTATTAAATGTTATCTTTGAAGGATGTTCCCTAGACAAAGACTAACACCAAATTTTCTTTTCAAAATGTAAAGTGCATAGCATAACTAACAGTGTTTCTGTGAGTTATACTTCAAAGTGTGTTTTGAGGGTGAAAATCTGATTTTTCAAATATTGACACTTAGGTGCATCTTGCTTAAAGAAAAAAGTTGAACAATATTCTAAAAAAGTTATACCTCCAGGAAACATCCTTAAACTAAAATGGGTACGTCATTGAAACTGTCCAGTTGTAGTAAAACTCACCGATTTCCAACGATATTTTGCCACCAATGGCTTTTTAAAAGATTAAAAAATATTGAATTTTTTTATAATCCTGTACTATAGATAATTCAATAGTTACATTTGATATGCAATGTGGATAACACAATGTCTTATTTAAGTTAGGCACACATATACAGTAAAACCTGTATATCTGAACACCTGGCTAATCCGAACACCTTCCAATTTGAACACTTTTTTTCGGTCCCATTTTTTCCTCCCATTGACTCCCATGTTAAAAAACCTTGAAATCTGAACACCTCCTAATCTGAACAGTGAACAACCAGATTTGAAAAACTGACCTGTCTAATTTGAACATTTTTATCAGAAGTCAAATGTCTGGACATTTCAATAATAGCCACATATTGAGTCAATGTTATAGTTGTTATTTATCTTTACATGTACAATGTAATCAAAGCACCAGTATTGTCCTAATTAACTTATTTCGTCTCAGAGACATCCCTAATTTGTGGAAAACAACAGGATGTTTTGGAAAGGTGTGAGTACAGGAGTTAATTGGTTTATCCTATCAGAAAAAAACTGAATGTTTCATGTTTGGATTAAGAGAAAGGTGTGAATCAAGAAGATAATTGGTTTATCATTATTAGAAATTACCTGGATGTTTTTGATTTGGATTAAGAGAAAGGTGAGAATCTGGGAGATAATTGGTTTATCCTTATTGTAAATGAATTGGATGTTTTTAATTTGGATTATGTTATTATATTAGGTCCTAACTGTTTTATATCCCATGGGTCTGTTATGATAGCTAAGATTCAATCAGTAAAGGTTGTATAATCACAAAGATAACACAGACACATTTGCAGACAAGATTGTATCACGAGAAAGAGAAAAAATTCAACCATAATATGAGATAAGTCATTTGATTAGCATAAGATTTCATACGAGACTATCATATACTTCTACAGTGTACTACAAAGTTTTTGCCAAAATATTAGAGTTATTTTTACTAAAATAGTGAAACTGTTCAAAATGTAAATAAAACATAGCATATAGACTATAGGCATATTGTAGAATAAACACATCAACTACATGTATTGTTTTCTGACTTAGTATTAAGTGTTCAATATAGTGTACTGAACAATGAAAATCCCCCCCCGACCAACAAAATCCTCGAAATTTGAACACCTGCCAATTTGAACGCTTTTGGCTGGTCCCATGGGTGTTCGGATTAGACAGGTTTTACTGTAAATTAAATATTAATTAGTAACATTATAATTACAGGTATATGTGATTTTCTCAGAAGAGCATTCTTTAAGTGGGTCAATCATTCTCTGAAGTGTATATATGTCGAGTTGCTTTGAAAAAACAAAATATGAAACATTTGATAACTACAGAGGTTAATGTGTACAAGGTGTTCATTAGTTTGTGCAAAGTTCATGATTTTTGCAGGACTTATTTATCTGATATTGTAAATTATTTCTATTGTAGCTCAAATTGTTAAGAGTTGTGGTTGCTATAATGACCTGTGTTATGACAATACAGAGCACCTTAAATTGAAATGTTTTTTGATTGGAATAAGTGCATGAAGACCATATATGTACATATACCTGTCTTCCAATAAGGGGTTCACTTGAATGATTCTTGTTAGTCATTGCACATGCCACATCATATATCTTCTCTTTTAGTTCATCAATCCCCTTATAGCACTTTGGGTTACAGGAGACCTACAAATCAGCAACATAATTGACAAGTAAGATGATGCTAGGGAGTATTGGCATATACTGTTGGAAATTTTTCATTTTGAAAGATTTTGATTCTCCCACAAAAACAATGATAAAACATACATTAGTTATGATTTATTTCTAAAAGTTCCAGATATTTAGAAAACAACCATGTATATGACATGGAAAGTCCATATACAAATATTGCAAACAACTTAGTTCAAACTTAGTCAAATTATAATGAATTACCGCTTGGAATCCCACCATTATTGGATACCCAGATTTAACAAATTCTCTTTTCAGGCGTGCTTGAATCTTTTTAGTGAGACTGGGCATCTCCTTGGGTGGAATACAATCCAGATAGGTTCCGACAATGAACACTGATGAATCAGGGGCCCTCGACTAAAAAAACATAATTTGCAGATACAATGGCAAGTAAGATGTTTATGACTTACATTATTGAACCTGACAACCCTTTGTGAGACAACAGTTCAGTATTATTAACTAAGATCTTGGTTTAAAATAAAAAAAAATAGAAATACAAGTTTCTTGAACAGATATATTCAATTTCATACTTTTGATTTTGGGATGTTTGAGGGATTCACCTAATCTATGATTGGTGTACAATCTACATTAAGGATAGGCAGCTCGGTTATGGGTCAGGTCAATTAATCAGGCTAAAGGTTCTGGGCAAGGCAAATGTATGTATGGTTGGCCTTAGGGAGGTACATGTATTAACTCTAACATTTCAATAACTGACCTGAATGTTCAGTAACCAAGGAACAAGATTATCAATCCCAGCATCCTTTAGTCTTAGATCCCACACTGCTATGTAGAGGGCATTGGAGGAGAGGAAACACTGATGGGTAACATAGAACTCCTCCTGTCCTGCAAGGTCCCATGTGCTAAATGTGATGTCAGGGAGGTTGGCCTAAATGGAGTACAATATAACCATCAAAAAAATAATTAAGAAAAGTTCACAAATAAGACCAATGAACTTTTAAGGGCAACAGAAACTTGCAAAATATTTAAAATTCTACATTGATCTAAAATTAAAGAGAGTTTTGAAAAGTTTGAGTCCTGACTCAGAGGGTCCTGGGCTACTCTAGCTTTTGCGAAAAGTTCAATATTGTGCAAGAAAGTATGCAATGGTAATCACTAATCAGTTCACTCCTTTTTTGGTACTCAGTATTTATATACTCAGTATTCCATAGACACTCAAATTACTTTTACTTTTACATATATATTTTATTTTACTTTTTTATTTATTTTTCATGAATAATTGTTTGATTAATAACTGGAAATTGTTTTACCAAGTCTTTGGATTTTTGGCTTTTCTTTGCTTGAGTGGCAAGTAGTTTCCATTCCTCAACCACAATGCCATTGGTAGCCACATTATATATTGGGGAAGGTTTGCCTTGGAGAGCTGCTAGTAGGCTAGTCTTACCTCTTTTCTAGGAGGGAGAACATAATCAGATACATAGTACCCCACACAAGTTTTTGAAAATAACTTTGACCCGTGATTTGAACACTCTACCTTATACTATTTGTTTTTGAATTTAGCACACATAAACTAGAGGCAATGAATTTCCATTGGAATTTTTTGCTTTTATTTTACTTCAATTTGTTACAGACACCAAACGCCGACACGCAAATGCCAAACATCATTCTGTCGATGTATAATATATATCCCTTACACAACACATCTTCATTTTGGACTTTAATTTTGAGAGAAAATTATACCTCTTTTCCCACAACCATGAGCTTCATGCTGTGATGGGGAACAGATTGGCGTAATTGGGTGCACAGGAAGGCAAGAATGTCTCTATGTCTATTCATCTCATTACCTGAAAATTAAAAAAAGAAGAATACAGTTTTCATGCACTTATGGTCGTCTGTTCAATAATGCAGCAACCAAAGAATATACTGTACTCCCAGTTAATTTCGTGAGTTTTAATTTTGCGAATTTTTGGAAAACATGATTTTGCGGCTATCAAATTTCGTGAAATGCACTAAGTACACCTACTACTATGTCATCTTGACACATCAATGACACACTACACCCCTTAACCTCTATTACATTGTAATTTTCAGGTTTATTTGATCTAATATGCCACTGTAACAGACATTGTTACTTAGTATCTCATTTATTGCCTAAAAGCACTTGACAAACATTTTACAAAACACGAAATGCAATGGAGTCCCAGGTAATAATAATTTTCACAAAAAATACAAGGAGTACAGTATTCAAAAACTAAGTTCTAATTCTATAATAAATGTTGAATCATTCGATCAACACAATCAATAGCAAAGTCATTTATATATATGACAAGATGATTTTCATTTTCTCATTCATCACCACCCACCCTGTAGTAACTGTTTGGGGATGTTTGTAGCCTGGCCTTCATCAAACTTGATGTGGCAGTATATCTTCAGATTTCCCAGTCCCTTTGGCAACTCTGTGATGTGTGGGTTGCTGGGAAAATAAATAAATAAACTATACATTTTGAATTAATTTATAGTTATTGGATATTTATAGGATATCATGTCAAAATAAACTAGAAAAAAGGTATTTTCAGAACATCACAAGGTGATTGTAATCATGGGATAAACCCAATATCACATAATTTCTCGTGATATCATTTTATCGCCTCGTAGATATCAAATATCAACACTCATTCGCTTCGCTCACTCGTGTTGATATTTGATATCAACTCAGCGATAAAAATGATATCACTCAAAATGATGTGATATTCTGTATATATCTTTGAGTATAGTCATATTCAGTTCAATATTATTATACCCTTTGATGTTGAGTGTCTCTAAATATTTCAGTTTGCAGATGCTCGGTGGTACTTGTAGTAGGTGATTGTTGCTAAGGTTGAGGAGATGAAGGTCCTCAAATTTTGGCAATACAAGTAAATCTTCATCTTCAGTTATAATGGCAGGTTTAGCAGTTTGAAAGAATCCCTTTACTTTACTAAATGGAGTCATTGGACTTTTGCTAAAAAGAAAAAAATATGACAGTTGTAGATAGTGCAACCTAAATTGGAACAACAACTTTGAGTCAGAGCAATGAACGCTTTCATAATATTTGATGAACTTTTCGATAAATATATGCATATCTTGATAGCTACAATAAGTTAAAAATAAGATACTACATATAAATTTCAGGTGGAAAATCAACTCTTTTGATATCTGTAGAATATAAATGAACATCAGATTTAATGGATGCAGTGTTGACTGTTGTTTATACATTTACCTTGGTGGAGGTATAGATACATTGCACAACTGATTGTTTGAGAGATTTAAATGACGCAGTTTCTTACATCGCCAACTTTCAGGCATTGGTAAACACTTAAGGTTATTATGGGAGATATTAAGGTCTACCAATGAAACTGAAAAGTAAATCAAGTATTAAATACAATTGCAAGTCCACACAAGTTAGGGCAAATTCAATGATTAGTACATGTATGTTAATTTCTACAAACATTTCAATACTAACAAAAACATATGCTAATCAATGAAAATGTACATGTGTTATTCAAAAACATCTTTTATCAATAACAAAATTAATTTGAAGTGAAATAAGAGCAACCTAGACTACCAAAACACATACAGAATGTTTGCTTTATCAAAGTTATATTATTGCTTGGTACTGCAACCAACAAGGCAAATTATCAAGTCTATAGACATCCAGGGAGCTGGATTTTGTGAAATATGTGAGAGTATTATTGAACAAATGATATTACAATAACCAATAAGAATTTAGTGCTAGGATTGTGGCAATGATAACATTAATGTTAGATGTGTTAATTCATGTGAAAGACAATTAACTTATACAAATAGATAAAGATAGCCATTACTGAAAAGAAAAACAATTACTGTACCTATACCACAGACTCCTGGTGGAATATCTTGGAATCTGTTGCCATGGATATCAAGTTTCCTGATAGAGGATGACCATTTATCCTCTGGTTCAAGAATAAACTCATCTAAGAAATTGTTGGACAAATTTAGTTGCAGCTTGAAAAAAAAGTTTAACAATCAAGTGATGAAGACAGGAAGTAAGGCACAATAATAAATACTAAAGTGGAGTTACACATCTTAAAGGCATAAAATTATGATACAAATATGAACATTGCAATTACCAAAATTGTTCATTCTTGCCAAATAATAAATAGTAAATAAGCAATTTTTGATTGGTTGAGACTCCAGTATTAAGCTTTGAATCTGTCAAATAAGGAAATTATTATGATGGTAAATCAGAATTGATGGAAATTGTTTGTGTGAATTTATTAATTTTTTGTACTTAATTTTTTTAATGTACTATAACTGAATCATATCTGAAATAGAATACATACCAGTCTACAATCCCAAGGTTTGGGAAGCTTGCAGAACTTGTTTTCACTCAAGTCCAAATTGCAGACCCCTTCTAATAATGCTATATGTGCAGGAAGATCTCTTAAATTATTTTTTGATAGGTTGATAGTGTGCAGCTTGGAAGCATACCAGATCTGATCCAACACACCCTTAGACACTACAATTCAAATAAAGCAAGAAATTTAAGATAAAAATATTATAAAATTCAACTAAAATAATTACATGTAGGCTCATAATTCATAAATTACTCCAAATAGACTTAACATTCTGAAAACTTAGAAGCAGTTAAAAGTATGAAAGAAATGTACTATCCCCAGATACGAACCTCTGGCATGTCTGCTTCCCTCTTGCCTAAATGTGTCGAGCAACTCCATGTCACTATCTGTACTGGTGTTTGTTATGAGACTCTCTAGTACATTACTACTGGCATCAAGAGTTTCCAAAGCCATAATTTGAAACAGCTTGGAAGGAAGTGTGCGGAATTTATTATTGTTAAGTTTCACATCTGCCAGACTGAAATAAGTAATGTATAAAAATGTTAAATGTAAGGAGTTTCAGATTTAAATGGATGTGATGTTAATAACGGCTCACCTTATTCTTTGTTATATTTGTCTTTTAAACAATGGCACTGTTAGGTGGTCTCACATGGTCAAGAAAGTTTTTTGAAAATGAAGCATTTAAAAGATGGGACACATGGTAAAGATTGACTTGTCAACACGTACACGTTGCTTGCAATTTTGTCAACCCATCAAAAAAGCTGTTATATACTTGGATTATTTGAACTATCATTGATTATGTCTCTTAATTAATCCCTAGAAAACCTTAAACTTATATCTCACCAATGGCAGTGTATTGTGTCTGGCACAGAGCAAACTTCAATTCTGTTAAATGAGACATCCATCACCTGAAGTCTATTCAGCTCCCATGGTACTGCACTTGGCAATGTAGTTATACTATTGTGTGAGAGGTCCAAATGTGTCAATGTGTCACTCCAACGTGTCAACCATGTAGGGTGGACTCCATGGAGACAATTGTATGTTAGACTCACACGATGATGCTGTAATTTAAAATAGGTATTGCTTAATACTAAATTTAGTACTGTGGAGGTGAAGTCTATTCAGCTCCCATGGTACTGCATTGAGCAATGTAGTTATACTGTTGTGTGAGAGGTCCAGATTTGTCAATGTGTCACTCCAACGTGTCAACCATGTAGGGTGGACTCCATGGAGACAATTGTATGTTAGACTCATACGATGATGCTGTAATTTAAAATAGGTATTGCTTAATACTAAATTTAGTACAGTGGAGGTGAAGTCTATTCAGCTCCCATGGTACTGCATTGAGCAATGTATACTGTTTTGTGAGAGGTTGTATGTTAGACGCATACTGTGTTGCTGTAAGTTAAAATAGGTACATGTATTGCTTAATAATACTGAATTTCAAATTTAGTACTGTGGAGATGAGAATTCATATTCAATAGCTGAGGCATCTATTTTGAAATCTATGATATAAAATAACATACAGCTGTATTTGTATTGTATTATGATTGCATGGTGTTGAGTAATACGTACAAAACAAACTCTTGGTCCAATAAAGTTAAAAGTTACTTCTTGAATGAATCATAGAAGAAGGACGAAAGAGAAGGTATAAACAGTGAGTATGTTTATCAATGAAATATAATCTGGAGGACTGTATAAATATCCTGATAAGTATACTCACCAAGAACTTTCCAAAAACGAATCCAAATCAACTTACAAGTTCTGTTGTTCCATCATTGTTAGCTTTCCAATGTTCAGTCACTTCTTCATCAAATATCTGACTGAAGATATCTGGATATTTCTCAATAACAGCAGTAGTGATGTCGGCCCCATGGTACAAAAGCAGTTTCACTACATCTATGCTATTACCTGGAATAGCATACTGATTTATAATACCTTCCATGGATTTCACACCTTTAACATATTTCATGACTTTAATTTTGGATATCTTAAAGAGAGAATCAGATCTAGTAAGCAGCAATTTTAGAATATTTCTGGCTTATGTCATTCCTTTTCATGTCTATTTTCTAAAAATCCCTAAAGTGCACACTTTATTTCAGGAAAACTAAAGATTTTTACAATAATATATTATTTTTCTTTAAGAATGGTTACCATTCTTATTATTTGGGAGAATTTAAACATTTTTCACTCATTTTTGCACTTTGAATCCATTATAACTTCATCAATTTAAAACATATCGTGAATCTTTTGGGAGATATAATTGTATTTGAGATTGTCAGGAATAAATTGGTAGGTCAATTGTACATGTTGCTTGTAATTTTGTCACCCCCCATAGATCTGATTCTGCCTTCAAGTTAAACATAGTTTATACCTTGACTCCATTTTAGAATCTTGATAAACACATCTCCCATCTATATACACGTAGTACTATATCATACAGGGTGGGCCAAAAACATTACTGAGCGTCACAAATTGTTTCAAGTTAAAGTATGCAAAGTTTCATGAGCAAACTCATGTTGGATATTTTTCAACGATGCATTAAAGTAGGCGACAAAATTGTGCGTGGGGTACAAATATATATAAACATTCTCTTTATCTTACTTTTACATGCTGCATATAGTGGAACAGCCTCTTGTAGCTCTATTGGGAGACTAGGAAGGAGGTATGGGATTGGATCATTGATGTCGATCTGTGGATTCAACCATCGATTCACCATACTTTCCAAACCACTCATACAGGCTGCATACAGAAGCACTTTCAAGTTCTCTATTGTGGAAATCAAACCTACAATAATTAATCAGTATGTAACATGAGAAATTTAAACATTCTCAGGGGTAAACACATTATTTACATGCTCACTGTGAATGGTAGTGTACCTATATATACTGATCAATACAATGATAAAACTGGACATTGACTTTTTAGAAAATAGGCCAACGTGGAATGAGTATAATTATTGTAAAATTGTGACTATTTTTGAATCTCCATCACAATTTCACTCCATTTAATAACATCTGACTTTAGCTTTAATCCAATGTAATCTTACTCACTTGCAGCATGGTCCATTAAAATATCCAGGACATGGGCATGTCCAAATAAGGTCGCAACATAAAATGGTGAATCAAGATCTTTGGAAGGTTCAGCAACATATGCTCCCTGACTCAAGAGTATATCCGTTATCTCAACATGGCCATTTGCAGCAGCAAGTTTGAGGGGGGAACCCTGAAACATATCAGTCAAATAGACTAGATGCGAGTAGAAATAATCTTGATTTACTCTGAAACACACCAGTCAAATAGACTAGATGCGAGTAGAAATAATCTTGATTTACCCTGAAACATATCAGTCAAATAGACTAGATGCGAGTAGAAATAATCTTGATTTACTCTGAAACACACCAGTCAAATAGACTAGATGCGAGTAGAAATAATCTTGATTTACCCTGAAACATATCAGTCAAATAGACTAGATGCGAGTAGAAATAATCTTAATTTACCCTGAAACATATTAGTCAAATAGACTAGATGCGAGTAGAAATAATCTTGATTTACCCTGAAACATATCAGTCAAATTAGACTAGATGCGAATAGAAATAATCTTGATTTACCCTGGAACATATTTGTCAAATAGACTAGATGCGAATAGAAATAATCTTCGATTTACCCTGAAACATATCAGTCAAATAGACTAGATGCGAGTAGAAATAATCTTGATTTACCCTGGAACATATCAGTCAAATAGACTAGATGCGAGTAGAAATAATCTTGATTTACCCTGAAACATATCAGTCAAATAGACTAGATGCAAGTAGAAATCATTTTGATTTACCCTGAAACATATCAGTCAAATAGACTAGATGCGAGTAGAAATAATCTTGATTTACCCTGGAACATATCAGTCAAATAGACTAGATGAGAGTAGAAATAATCTTGATTTACCCTGAAACATATCAGTCAAATAGACTAGATGCAAGTAGAAATAATTTTGATTTACCCTGAAACATATCAGTCAAATAGACTAGATGTGAGTGGAAATAATCTTGATTTACCCTGAAACATATCAGTCAAATAGACTACAAGTAGATGCGAGTGGAAATAATCTTGATTTACCCTGAAACATATCAGTCAAATAGACTAGATGCGAGTGGAAATAATCTTGATTTACCCTGAAACATATCAGTCAAATAGACTAGATGCAAGTAGAAATAATTTTGATTTACCCTGGAACATATTAGTCAAATAGACTAAATGTGAGTAGAAATAATTTTGATTTACCCTGAAACATATCAGTCAAATAGACTAGATGCAAGTAGAAATAATCTTGATTTACCCTGAAACATATCAATCAAATAGACTAGATGCGAGTAGAAATAATCTTCGATTTACCCTGAAACATATCAGTCAAATAGACTAGATGCGAGTAGAAATAATCTTCGATTTACCCTGAGACATATCAGTCAAATAGACTAGATGCGAGTAGAAATAATCTTCGATTTACCCTGGAACATATCAGTCAATTGGACTAGATGTGAGTAGAAATAATCTTGATTTACTCTGGAACACATAAGTCAAATTGAAATGTATCAGGTTGGCCACTATACATTCTCAAAACAAAATTTTCTAAAAAATTAATTGTCATGAAAATATGTATATCTAATATTCAATACATATAGTTTTTGTGATTTATGGGCATAGTTACAGACACAATTTCAATTTGTTTTATTTAAATTTCTAACTAATGGCAATAATAATATTCTAATATCTTTAACTTAAAAAAACTAAGAAAAGCTTGTCAATTTAAAAAAAACAAACTCAGAGGGTCAATTACTTTCAAGTGATGCAAAGGTAACAAAATTCTTAAAAACATGTTTTTCAGATGCTCTCTAAAATCATGTTTGCCTATCCTAAAATTTAATTCCATGTCATCATAGCCTTTTTGATCTGAGTTACAACTGAATGTTATCTTGGTAACTTAGTTTTTTAAAACGTGATACTCCACTATACATTTATTGTAGATATTCATGGCCTTACTAATCATAAGCATGTAAGTGGAAGTAGATTTAAAATTGATTGCATTACAATATATGCAAACAATTTTAAGTGTCCTGCACAACTGACAGTATATTTTGCAATGTGTGAAAAGAATTGAAGCCCAAGACTTGATGCATTGTGACTGATTAACACAAAAGAAGATGAAGAGAAGTGCCATAGTTCCAAGCGGACTTCTTCCCCCCACCTACACCATTCTTTTCAAACAAAGTTCTAGTGTATCAATGCAAGCCTACACTGCATGCATTAATCCTCATAAACAGCATATTTCTTACAATGGGTCAGTATAACCCATAGACCCCCTAAAACTTCACTTGATGTATAATAGATTTAGCATAAATCAGTGAACACGCATCTTACTAGAAAACTTGATAACAAAAAATGGGGGTTAAGGAGTTGCTCTCGACCTTATTGGCCTTTAAGTAACATCTTGACAATAAAGATATTCTTTGCTTTGATAAAATTGACATTTTACAATGATCATAATCATGTCTTCGTTGCAATAATTAGATAAAACATGGCAATCACTTCATAGAACAATCAATCCCTTTAGAGAAATGTACATAATAAGATAATCTGAATGCATTTTTAGAATCTATGTAACAGTTTTAATTAGGAAAACAAAACATATTTCATCACTTCACAATCATATGCACAAATTTTAGGCAAAAAAATCTTGTTGATTTTGCTAATTCTGATTACAATTATTTCAAAAATAGAAAGTACATACAATTACTAAATTTTCCAAGATAATTTTCCTAATACTAACCTCCCCTTCTTTTTCCATATCTATATCATCCCAGTATCCCATTAGTAGAATGACAACATCTTCATGGCCAAGCTTGCATGCCTCGTGGAAGGGATAATACCCTGTCTTTAAAGGATTCAACAAATCATCAATCCTAGCATGCGTCTTGTGCTCATTGAGTACTTCTAATAATTTATGTTTGTCCCCTTTAGTTACAGCACCACGTAATTTAGCCAGTGTCTCCTTGTGATTTTCATCCATTGTTCTTATGTCAGAGGGGAACTACATCATTCTTAATCCCTGAAATAATATGGATTTTCAGGTATCACAATAAACATAAAGGAGGAGGGAAAGTATCGCAACAGATTTCGGACAGTCATATCTTGGATTGTGGCTATTCTCTGAGGATTTAAACAGGTGCATATGTTAGATCAATATGCATTGTGATAAAATAATTTCAACTTTGAGACAGGGTAGGTGCAAGCAACCCACCCACATGATTTTTCTGAAATGTTCTGATTTTCAACCCCTTCCACCCCTGCTTTTTCAATTTTTGTTGTATGAATATGTTGCGTTTTGACACACATTGAACCACTTTAAAGGAATACTAGTAAGTGATTCCTTCAAGGGTTTTAAAGTGACCAAAATTATTCCCTATGGGAAAATAACATGAGAAATATTGTTTTCCACTTTATCGAAAAGGAATCACCTATTCCTTTAAAGGGGTTAACTGTGTGTCAAAACGCAACATATTGATGCAAGGAAAATTTAAAAAAGCAGGGATGGAAGGGTTAGGAAAACATTTCAGAAAAAACATGTGGTTGGATTGTTTGCATCTGCCCTGTCTCAAAGTCGAAATTATTTTATCATCATTAGAAGTGCTTTTCCTGGAGGCATGGGCTTCTAGTTGAAAGCCCATGCTGGAGGTAATGCATTGGCCTAACATATACACCTGTTTAAATCCTCAGAAAATGGCCAAAATCCAATATGACTGTCCAAAATCTGTTGCGCTAATTTCCCTCCTCTTTTCCTTTTGTCATTAATCTTTATCTTAATACAAAAATAATCAAGTGGGTTATCATTAATCAACCCAGAGAGCCTGGGCAAAATGGCTTTGTATAAAAAATCTCCTACCTCGTACCTACCTACCCACATAGGCATGAGACATGATAGTCTATGAAGGGTTCAATTTTAAAGAAGTTATTAAATCTTACTTTATGATGAATTATAGATGAATTAATGCACCCATATGCCTTTATTTATGTCATATCTGTCTAGTCATAAAATAAAGCCGGAATTGCAGAAATGTAATTTAAGCTATTTTGATATGCTTATTTCTCGAAATGATTTTTGTTGATCGGGCAGTCTGGCTTTGTAGAAAAAACCTTGTACCCATGTATGTGGGTCTTGACACATTAAAGTCATTACTAATAGAAATCATAGTAAGCATTAGAAGAACATTTAGAATCAAAATCGAATAGTAGGTACGAAATATTTCGAGGTGAGATATACAGTATCCGCATGGAAAGTCTGAACGAAATGCGTTCGTTTTTTTGGCGTTCAGCATTTTGCAGTATCGGCGATCTCTTTTTTGAAGTTTTTCAACAGAAGTATTTTTGCTTGACAATAATCGGGTAAAATGCTATATTCTGTCAGGCCAAAAAACTAGCATGACTTCAAAATTTCCAGCAAATGCGTGACAAATACGCAACAAATGCGGGACAGTTGGACGGCCTGTAAAAGTCATCCACTACAGTCAGATCCATAAATAATTACTATCCATTTCAAAAAGACATTCTGTCGCACATATAATAAATTCTTACCTCAGGGAATTAAGTACTATATTTTCTCCATTCTGGAAAATACAAATATAGTGGAATTTGTGTCCATAATGACCATTTGGATCTCAAAAATTTGAAGTGATTTCCACATGTTAAATGTCCACCGTTTTTGAAAATAATTGTGCATAGTCTCAAAAACAATTCTGCAACATTCCATTTCAAAATAACATTTCACCACTTACACAACTGTTATACCATACTTTATATGTCTTTATCAATCAATTGATACAATAACATTACCAGATATACAAATTGAACAATTTTCATTTTGGTTTGAGACTACAAAAACAATGGCTGCCATCTGAAAAGTAGATTCACATGTTTACAAACTATCCACCATACGCCTTGACCATACGCTGATATAAAGCCTTGGAGACATTTATTCTGCTAATAATCATTAACAGGAGTATATATTCTAGCAATGGAGGAGTGTTTGGCACATTAAATGTTCAAATTCAGCAAACTGTGCCAAAAATTTCAGGTGTCTTTTATTTTTGGATCAGACTGTAGATCTAACATAGTTGGCCTCTGAATTCTCATTTTTGGAAATCCTCACTTCAGCATAACAAACCTGAATTTATGTCAATATTGCAATGAATGATTGGTTAGGATCCCCCACCTGCGAAAAATAAAAACGAAACAGAACTCAGACTTCGTACTTCCTCAAGTTCTCGGGGAATCCCCTAAAAACTAAATAATTCGTTAGTCTGAGTTTCGGGTGTTACTAAATACCACCTAGGTGTCCCCTTGGGCACCTGGATTTCTAATTTCATTTTAAAATACGTACACATTTTAGATATAGTATTATTTCCTTTGTCATATTAACTTGACAATTAATAGGCTTGAAATAATAATTTGTGGTCGAGAATATTGCAAAGAAGATTCGAAAATAAAATGTTAAAAGTTTTATTGTTAGAAAAATGGGCACCTGGAATTTTGCTCATGTATGGTCACTTATTTGTAGTAATAAAACACTGTTTATGGTAAAGTGTGCATTTACATTTGAAATATATAGATTGGTCTTACTTTAGTTGCTAAAATAGTGAATTTGTAGCATTTAATAGTGAGAAAATTATGAAATATTATCCTAACAAATGACTTTTCGACATCGATCAAAATTTTTTAAGAAATTAAAAATATCATAACCAGACAGAAATATTTACACAAGCTCCATGAAAATCCTTTATTTTGTACCTTATTAACACTTGGAAAAATGTTAGTTTAAAATAAAGTAGTAAAATATGCCAATAAGGCATTTCAATGGGGACACCTAGGTGTGGGGCACCTAGGTGGTATTTAGTACAACCCTGAGTTTCTGCTTTATACAATCGTTTATCTTTGCTAAAAAGTTGCGAAACTGACAATATTATAAAATAACAAAGTTAAAAACGGAAACATATACGTCCAAGACAGAAATTTAGTTATAAATGAATAACAAACCTTGGAAAACTTTTCTTATTAGCGGATCTCGTGTTGTCTCGTTTCTAAGGACCCCGTTTCTAATCTCGAGACACATGACCACCACGTGATCGAACAAAATGGCGGGTAAGTGTGTTTGTAAATTCCAGTAAATTCCTTACAATCAGTCTATAAAAGCTGATTTTATGATCCTTTCAACATAGGGACGTAAATTCTTATGTATGGATACTGTAATCCCATAATATAACAGACAGAAAGTATAGGTATCAGCGCCAGTTTGAATAGATCTACCCCCTTTATAAAATTGAAGCTCATTTTGATTTTTCATTTTGGAACTTTTCACAGGCACCACAATCCCACAGTGATCAATCTTCAGCATTCTATTATATTTGATGGTGCTGACTATGCTGTATCCCCAAACTGAAAGCAAAGCAGATGTTCATGAACTCAAACAGACACACACATGCGCCAATATCCCAACCTTTTGGTCACTGAAAGCAAAGCCTTGTATTAGCTCCTACTATTTTTTTCATGGCCTGAGTTCGTCGCTAACATGCTAAATATAAGAGTTAGCTGACGTTTGGGAGTCTGACTTACCTTCTAAAGGTTAGAACCCGAATCTTAATGAAACCATATCACCTTTGTTCCGTCAACCATGGAGCATTTGCCACAACATCCAAGAGGTAAATCATTGACCGTGAAAATGAATGATTTCCTTGTAATTTCCGGAAGTTACAATACGAAAAATTACCGAACATATGTGAAAACCGAATATTTGTTCGTTGTTTTCACGATTTACAGGTTCGTTTGTTCTCCAATGTTTTGGTCTAAATTATAAAGCATCACCAACAGGTCTTACTCTATTAATCGACTAATACAGCAGACGGCTCATATTTCTACGTAGCATTTCGTTCAGACCAATAGTGGGAGTGTAGATCACGCAGTTTTGTTCGTTGCGTACTTCACTTGAAATTGGTAATTTTAAATATTGGCTACTTCACTTAGCTTGGCGGATGTAGAACATTGCTTAAATATTCTTTTAATTTTCACACCAGACATGCTTGGTTGACACGTCAACAAAGTAAAGTTCAAGGGTCAATGCGTTATTTCATGATAACTACAACGCCTTCCCGGAAGTCAACATTGATGAAAAAGTCGGAAAAGCATTTACACTAATTTCTATCAAATGCTGTGTTTATGCATCATCATCGACGCAACAAAGGTGATATGGTTTCATTAAGATTCGGGTTCTAACCTTTAGAAGGTAAGTCAGACTCCCAAACATCAGCTAACTCTTATATTTAGCATGTTAGCGACGAACTCAGGCCATGAAAAAAATAGTAGTCCTTCAAGAAAGCCTTATATTAGACAGAACATCTGCTTTGCTTTCAGTGTGGGGATACTGGCGCCTGTGTATAGGCTTTCTTGACTAACATAAGGCTTTTAGTAGTGTTGGGACTCGTGTGAATTATATTACTCGAGTAGAGGCTCTTGAACACTCGATTTATTCGTGATTAAAATAAATTATTTTGGAAAAAAGTTCAGAAAAACTTTCTTTGGAAAGTTTCAAACTTTCACTTCTGGTAGCAATGTTTTCAAGTGTTCTCAGCTCAACCTACATGTACCTTGAATAACTCCAACATGCTCATCAAATTATTCAAATAGAATAACTCAACACACTTAATATGTTCTTGTTTTGCATTGAAAAGTAAAAAATCTAGAAATTTATGCTAATTGGTTTGACTTACTTAAAGCTGGACATCGCTCCAAAACGCAATATGTTGACATATATTGTTTTTACATTTTTAAGCTCTAATATAAAGTTTATGTAAATAAAAATTGTTTTTTTCTGCGTTATATCAAAGAACAATCATTTAGTTAAAAAAAATAAAAAGGCGATTGCGGGATTCGAACCCGTGCCTCCCGCGTGCTAAGCGAGAATTGTACCCCTAGACCACCGTCTTCTAATGAATGTTGGAAGTAATTAAACGCTACTTATTTTGAATGCTATGATTCGGAAGTGACGTCACGTTCTTCATTTAGAAACTTTTCCAAAATCATATCGTCGGCGCCGATCGAAGCAATTCAATGAATAATCTTTGAAATGACACATTTATCGTAAGTATTTCTACACAAGATTTGCCCCATTTGTTCATCATTCTATTATCTTTCATTAGGCTCAAAATGATAAAGTTCACCCCCGAAACAACCCAAGATTGTGTTTCGGAGCGCAGTCCAGCTTTAAACATTGCTTTGCACATGCGCAACCAGATGTAATAAATAAAAACAAACATGCATGAGAAAGCTTATTGTATTTGATTTATCCAAACTTAAGGTATCAAACTATAATACTATATATTAGGAAGGCATCATTGATAAACATTGTACAGAAATGTTGTACATTGGATCTGTTTTTTTTTACGTAAATTGCGTTTGAAAGGTGGGTAAATCACATGTTCTTCATACTTTTTTTCATTTTTTTCAATTTGAATAAGAATTTACCAATCGATGAATCATATTTACAGGGTTTGGCGAGTAGTATTCGAGTCCACGAGTCAATCGTTGCTCCACTAGCTTTAAGTGACCACAAGGTGGGGAAGCTGGCGCCTATGGAACTTTCTTCCAGTTTTCATTCCATTTAATTTTCAGTTCTATTGATTGGACAATGTATGAGTTTGTCAAAACAGGAAAATGCATCCTCATTTACGAGATCTCCAGAAAGTTAACTTTTCATGGCCTGGGCCCTTATACAATCGATGATCCTGATTGTGACGTTTGTCCGAATCCCAATAGTCCGAATCACAATCTTAATCCCAATCGTAATCCAAATCCCATTGGTCATACTATACGCCTTGTATTTTTCGCTTGCGATTTAGTTTCGCGCTTTTCGCGACTGTGTTAAAATCGCGAAAATTAATCGTCGCGAATTTCGCCAATTAAAGGCTGAGGTGCAACATGCCGTTGACTAAGACCTAGAAATTGTAAATCTTATCAAAATATGACATTGGATAGGTCTTATTACTGTAGATAAGGTAAATTAGTTTATAGATCTTGAGGATCCAGAGAATAATGGAATTTAAAACTTTGAAATCCGCGAAATTTAATGGCCGCGAAATTGGTATTTCTCAAAATTCGCGAAATTAAAACTCGCGGAAAATACCGGGCGTACAGTAATTCAAATCATCTGAGTCCCAATGGTCGGAAGCCCAATTGTCCTAACACCATTAGTCATATAGTCCTGCCCAATTATGCTTTAATTTAAATATCACTATAAAACTGCAAGAAATTGTGAACATGGAATTATCGCAAAATACACAAAAATAGATGGTTTTGAAGTTTTGCGAATTTGATATTAATGGATGGACCAATGAAAATTTGTCCTTGCCATATGCATTTCGTGAATGGGAGATGTTAATAACCATGTTTTCATCTATCACGCATTAGTCTAGTAGCGCATATAATCATTGAAATTGAGACAACCGAATTATTTTAGTATTTGTTGTTGCATAACTTGCATTTGATAAATTTTCAGGTCAACCATGGAGATACCCAGGACAAAGAAATGCAGATTTAAACAATGGCATGCCATATGGTGGGAGAGGGGCTCATGGGACTCATCGACCCAGACTACAAGTGAATCATGACCAATATCAAATGCCTCATCATCAAGAACTTCAACATGAACCATATCAGTCTCCACATTTTCAACTTAGAGGATCATTTATGAGACAGCGTCCACCATCACAAATGCCCCCATTTCAAGGACCACCACCTCGTTTTCAATATTCTAATCCACCACCTCCTCCAGTTTTGAATTCACAAAATTACCAACAGTTCACTCCTGATAGTAATGGACCAAACCAGCCAACAGGGATGATAGCACCCAATCGTATGAATGTTGAGCCAGAGAAGCAGGTTGAGAAGACTCAAAGGGACACAGATGAAGAGTGGGTGAAAGTATGGCTGAATGACAAATCAAGAGAGTCAAATGAAACAATACAAAAGCCAAAAGTGACAGTAAGTTGACAAACAGAATGAATGAAGCTTCTAAATCAGCTTGTCTAGAGGTCCATTCTTAAAGCTTCACTAGTTATTAATATTTTATAATTTTTTACTTAATTCATTTTGCTGTGGTTTTATAATATTGATTGGCAAATAAGCTTCATAGATGTCAATTCAAGATATTTTAAAAATGGTAAATACTGCGCTGGTAAAACCTAGAGACAGACATTTTTTTAAACTTTTTCTATTACATGTATAGTGAAAATATTTTCGAGAAGCAAGGATTTCTAATATGTGTATAGTGTATATTACAATGTACTTTACTGTAGACGATGTACATGTATTTGTGTGTACATGCAACATGTTTGAATTGAAATGTTCCATGGAGGTGCATGAGGGATCCTTCAAAAACTCTCAACCAAACAGTTCCTTTTATAAGACCACCCCATTTATTTTCAGATCTCTCAATTCCACAGCCTTATACAGGAATACAGGGATCTCATAAAGTCCATGAAACAGAAATGTGATGATTTAAAAACTATAACAAATGAAGAACTTTGGAACATAGTCTTCAAAGAGATAGAATTGATGAAGGTAGAATATCTTTAGTTCAGTAGTGCAATTATAAAGCTTGGTTTGATTCAAAATTTAGGCAATCAAATCTGTAGTGAACATTGTGTTCAACTTTTATTATCTTAAATTATTTGTTAGAGAATAGGCCAGGTGTATACATGTACAGTACTTCATATATGTATACATTTTAGGTTAGCTATGTATCTACATGTACCTCATATATTTATGTATTTCAGGTACGGCTAGGTGAGCTCCAGGTAACGCTAAATGATAAAGATCTCCTGAAAGAAGTGCAGCAAAAGATGAAATGGAGACAGAACAAAAGGGTAAAGTACACTGTCTATTCTTTTGTCCATATTATTGTTATGTCACCACCAGCAACTTTTTGTGGATAGTGTTTGGCGGTTGTTGTTTGGAGTCTATAACAGCCTCTGTAACAAATGGTTGTTGGTGTATGTAACAAATGGCAGGTGGTGAAATTTTGCATGTTAATTCCTTGTTTGAACTTATTTTGTCTATATTTATAAGTAACATTGTAGTTTCTCTAACACCCTACATATATTCTTTTTAAAAAGGAACGCCTCCGGAGAAAAAGGAGAGAAGAATATCTTGCTGAATGTAAGTTACAAGAAGAACGAAATCTTGTACACCAGCAGATAGATAGATGGCAGCAAATTATTATCCAGAAAAATAAAGACGTCGAAAAAGTATGTTATTGCCTATTTTTGTCTTTATTTCCTAGTTCATAGCATACACACACGGAAAATGCCCTGAATAACAAGATATCAAAAAGTATACATATTAAGTGAAAATCATTTGTTGAATTATCCAATATGAGATACATGTAGGGGTTGGATGTTGGTAAAAGAGGTCTGAATTGTCGGTAAAATGAGGTAACGTTATGTATATAATTTATGTGATCAGATATTGTTATATTTAATGATTCAATACAGGCTGACACAGTTTACCAATTTATACTTAAAATAGTTTAATTTTGATGTTCTTTCTTTTACTTATGTTTGTTACTGTTAATCCAGGAGAAGGAATTAAAGGCGACTGCAGACAAAATATTAAATGAGGTCAGACGAAAGATAAATGATGTCACAAAATGTCTTGATATTCTGAAAGCTTTAAACACACTGAGAACTGTGAGGCAAGACAGTGCATCTAGGCGAGGTATGTTGTTATTAAATGAGACAATGAATGTAGGTGTCAAATGTCTATTGAATATTAAAATCAATATTAGGTATGAGATAGATAAGAGTGACTTTTGGGATACACTTTTTACATTTTCTTGAATATTGAAAGGAAATTCTAAATGAAAAATTGTGAAAAAATCAGATGAAATGCTTTGTCAGACCTGCATTAAAGCTAAGAGAGGCTTGATATCTATCTCTATTCTTGGATTGAGAGATATTTCTGAAGGATTAACACCAGATATAAAATAATTGCCTGTTGGGTGATACATGCAACAGTAGCTTTGTTTGAAAATTGATTTTATTCATATTTGAATAACAGATCTTAGATTAATCAACTTCTCTTTTCCAGGCCAAAATATCAGTTCAAGTAAAAGTAGGGACAAAGAGTTTGCCTCTGCTTCTAGTGAGCTCACAACAATGCTGAATCAGCAGAAAGCCATGTACAATGAGGAGAAAAAGACATTGGAGGTAATATACTTCTTGATCATTGTAACAATAACTGATGAGATAAGTTTTGTCCTAAGCCTTGACATAACCTTAACTTTATTTTTCAAGCCAAATGTTCAATAATACCAATCACCACACAAAAGGCATACAATCACAATAAAATACATGTATTCACTGTACAATGTACATATTTCTTGAAAATTAATAAATTTTTCCCTACTTTTTACTTTCAAAAAGTTTTAACATTACATTACACAAATCCACATGTTTAATTTAAAATTGCAATTTTATCCTAAATTAGAATGCAGGTTAACTAATTTTTTTTATCAGAAAATACAGCATTATCAGATTTAGCAATATGCTTCAATATTATAATGACCCTACAACGATAAATCAATGTACATGAAGGTGATGCTAGAGACAGAACAAGAAGAAACCAAGGAAAGAGAGAAGGCTGAGAAACAACTGAAGATGGACAATATCAGGAAGAAACATGAGAAGCGGATTCTAGAGTGGCTTTTTGGAAAAGGATGTGAGTATATATGTTCTGTCATATCAAATTCAACTTATAGAAAACATGTAGCATAATCAGTAAAAATTCTTTTACTTTTAGAACAGTCGTATATTTCGCATATTTCCACACAAAGGTTATGATAATGATAATTCGCTACATGAACATATTTTATTTTCAGATAAATTGGAATCTCACCCAGAAAAATTAAAGAAGCATTTTAGAAAGCATGTTGCTCCTACAATTATTGAGAATGTTCCGTTGCTAGATATGCTTCCATGTATAACATGCCTCTCAGCAAATGATAAGGTTAGTCTCAAAATTGTTCTCATGTGTAATCTGTTTTATTTGAAGTATAATATCAATATTTCTGTGATAATATCAAATGCAAAAGCAAAGCTTTCATGAAGGCCAAGAAAATGTTATTAGGCTGGAGCTGTGTGAGGTGAACACCTAATGGTGTTCATTTGCTTACTCCAATGGTGCTTCTAGAATAATGTACAGAAACGTGTAACTTAGAAATATGTTAAAAAGAGAAAATCTGGCATAGAAACATTTACTGATTGTCCATCCAATATGGCTCTTTGGCAAAGCCCAGGACACCATTGCTTGGCCCAATTGATATTGTTGCTGACTTTTGTATTTAGGAACAACTGAAATCCATCTATTGGCAGAATGGGCAGGCTGAGGCCATGGTCCTTTTCTTCGACATGCTTTTACAGCGATATGATTGGATGGACCAGCTGGGAGCAGCTTTAAGATATCCTGCTGTTAATCAGACATATCTAGCTGACATGCTTAACCCAAGTGGACAGGGTGAGACAATAAACATTTTATTTATTTAGGAAAGTATTATATACAATTATTGACCTCTCCAGAGGTTTACTGTCAAAATTATATCCCGAGACTGTAAACCGAGACCGTCGGTTTACAGTCTCGGGATATAATTTTGACAGTAAACCTCTGGAGAGGTCTATAATTGTTTTGTTAGTCCGAAGAATATCTTATATTTTTCTGACCCTTGAAGTTGACTTGAAGTTGGATCCAGACCCTCGAGACGTTCATGTTGTATTTCAGTATATCGGCAGTAAGTTCACTCAATGGAGTCAAATTACTCTCCTGGGCGAAGTCCACTAAAAGCTTTGTACAAAGTTTTAGATTTTTCTTCGTATTTTGACTGTCTTTACTCTCTAAGAGACTAATAATATCCTCATCTTCAACATTTTTGGAACGGCTAGTGCTAGCGGCGGCCATTTTATCGTCTGATAATGACGTCATTTTAGTGGAATGCTGGGAATATTATTCACCGGCAATGCATTGCGCGGTGTACAGTTAAAATTATTCACCGCTCGTTGACCAATCAAAATCGAGTATTTCAACTGAGGTACTAACTATAAATATTGTAATGTATGTGACTCAGTAGTCTAATGTATTAGGACTTAGTCCTACCAAATTATCGCATCTTACTTCAAGACATGTACAGTATACGAGTATTATATGTTTTCACTTGACATTCTGTTAGTTATCACCATCCATTGTCAAAAACCATGCTTAGTTACCTGACTACAAGTCTCTTGTAAATATCTTTCTATCTGGTTACAGGTTGGGATCCTATGTTATCGTTCCAAGCATTCTATGACCAGGCTGACAATAGTGTGGAAGACCTTGTGCGCATAAGGTATAACCTACATACAGTATTTTATGTTACAATCATTATCCCATCGAACGAAGTTCGGAGGGATATAGGGAACGCCTCCGTCCGTCCGTCCGTCCGTCCGTCTGCATAACGCCCCATCATAATATCGAAACGGGGATATATCAGTATTTTAAACAGTTTAAATACTAATATGAATATTACATTTTTATGTAAAAAATTTTTTAAGTGAACATTCCTTCCAAAAGATTTTTTCATTTCCTCTGAATGTTTAACTACACGATCACGGAGACCCTTCTCATACTTTATTTCCCTGGTGTTGGTGGTTTGGAGTGACTAGATAGTTTGCACTTTTAATGCTCTACTTGCTTTTCCTGCTTTTCCTCCTTTTCCTCTTTGCATGCTTAATCCCCTTTGTGGTTTGCACTTTCACCTTTTATTGACTTTGTGTACCAATATTGATGTGGCTGAGTTGGAGTAATTTGGTAAGTGGTCCGAAAATGACTTTAAACTATACAAAATTTTTCCGGTTTATACACATGGTGTATAGTCTAAATAGTCCATTAATCCCATACCCTAACAGGTTAAACAATAATTTTTTTAAATAAAATAAATATACATATGATTTTTATCCCATCGAACGAAGTTCGGAGGGATATAGGGAACGCCTCCGTCCGTAATGAACTAAAGACCAAGAATAGGAAAAAGAAACCAACAAAATTCTGTAAAATACTATTTGAAAACAAAGCAGTAGAAGTAATCAACATTGCAAATATCTTAAGAGATGAAGAAGTGATCAAGACAATACCTTCAAGTATCAAAAATAAGGAACCACCAGGGATTGTCTATATATACACAAAACCAATAAGGAATAAATTTTTCAACTATAGTGAGATTACAGAAAGTATCGACGAAGGCAACAATACAGGAGAATGTGATTGTAATACATCTGAATTTAAGGATGAAGACCATGGTCACGTCATAACAGGAAATCTGAAGATTATACAAAATTCAAAATTGAGAAAGCTATTTAGTAAAGGTCCTGGCTATAGAGAAAAACGAAACATTAACTTCAGGAAAGCAAAAGAAGAAATAAAGAAAGGAATAGATGAATATGCAATAAGTTGGACAAAAAATGAAAAAGTTTCAAAAGTATACTTAAATGAATGGAAAAATACTGTAATGGAAAAGGTTAAACAAAAGATTGAGTTACTTCAAAATACAAAATTTAGACATATTAAAAATCCAAAGCAGACACTAAAGGACCATAATGCTATGGACGAACTCAATCAACTCAAGGAAAAATATGCCATTGTACCTATTGATAAGGCAGCAAATAATATTGGGTTTATGTGCAAACAATACTACATAAAGAAGATTAAAGAGGAAATTGGGAGTGACACCTATCAAAGGATAGAAGATAAAGGAGAAGAAGATATAGTGGAGGAAATCAAAGAGACAATGAAAACAAAATTCAAGATTGAACCGGGAGAAGAACAAAATATTATACCAAGGATTCATCTTACAATTAAAATGCATAAACAGCCAATTAAATTTAGATATATCATTGGCTCTAAGAAAAGTTCTGTAAAACCAGCTGCCAAAAAACTGACCAAAATTCTTAAACTAGTGCAATATACTAACAAAAGATACTGTGAGAAGATTAAGGATTATACAGGTGCCAATAGGATGTGGATCAGTGACAATAACCAAAATATGTTAGATAACATTAAAAGTGTAAAAGAGAACCCCCGATAAGGAGAGCTTTTTAGAAGGACATTGCTTTTTTATTCTGGACGTGATCATCATGGAAATTTGACACCTTTTTAGAAATGAGGTGAATTTTGACATCCTGAAATATTATATCTGGATGATTAAAACTTCCGTTTCTAGAACGTTTTTTGTAAAACGATGAAATTCAATGTTCTATTTTGACCGTTACTTTCGATAAAGTGCAATACGTTTCCTTCAACTGTACATGCGAAATAAAATATGTCTAAGAAGGATTGTGATGCAAAGTCTTAGTTTCGTAAAGGAATTGAGGGGCGTGGTACCAGAAGTATGCTTAAAGAATTTTCTAAGAAGTTGTTCCACTATGGTCGTCATTCTCATTAGAAGAGTCTCGGAATTTTATACAAGTCATAGATAGAGGGCGTTTCACAGATCAAATAAGTTCATCTTTGGATAAAACTTGGTCATTTTTGAAAATCATTCAAATGCCCAAAATTAGATGTCTCTCCTGGACAATCAGTAATGTCACAGTAAAAGATTATCCTGTGCTATTTTGGTTTCAGGTACATAACAGCTGGATATAGAACTGATGTCTTAGAGGAGTGGGACACATATATCTCCCGCTGTATATTCCCCGGAAATGTTTTTTGTTCAGTGTTGAAATAGTAAAGACTGTCCGAATATCTTGCTATAGAATGAATGCAGCAGACGTAGAATATTTCATTGCCAAATGTTTATGAATTTTTCGAAAATAATGAAAATGAGAACACTGAAATCTTCACTTATGAAACCGAATGCTCGTTTTTGAATATGGGGTATACCCCTAGGGAAATATGATATCCTTTATCATATTTCCCGAGGGATATACCCCATATACAAAACCTCCCATGACATAACCCTTATGCATTGTGGTTAAAAAATAAATAATGATAGTCAGGGTCGGGATTTGAACACGAACCTTTCAGAAAATTAAAGGGAAGACAATTTCCAACGCGCTATCATATGCGCCAAACGATCATTGTATTATGATTTATGTCTTTAACTATTCACGTTTGAATTAGGTACACGATTGAAAAGCGTATGAAGTCTACATTTTTAAAATCAAAGAATTCGAGCGTTCCTACTTTAACCTCAAGACTGTTGGCATCAGGCTTCTTATCTTAGCAATTCAACCAGTTGTTAGAGTAGATAGTCCAGGGTGTAAAGCAAAACTAGAGCGTTCTCAAATCTAGTAGAAACATATAGTTTTTCAATACATACAAACATTGATTGGTTGTTGTATTTTTCTTCTTTGAAAAAGTATATTTCAAGATAAATTAATTATTTATTTTGATATATTTATTTGCCAAAAATTAACGTTGGCACATGTTTTATTATCCAATGCGTCGACATGCATTGTATAAAATATGAATGAAATAAAAAAAATCATAAATAATTTCTTGAAAACAACGTTACATACAAATAATCATAATCATGATTTTCGGGGCTGGTACAATTTGGTTAAAAAGCGTTTCAAATAATATAAAATAGTCTTGCCCCATTATCACTCGGGATCAGCTCGATTACGCTGATGACCGTTTCGGTAACATAATGTCGGAACCTCGAAGGAACGATTTTTCTTTTTTCCTTATTCCACGCGTTGTTGGCAAAATTCCCATGATATTTTTTATAAAAAACGTGCGTTAGTATCATATGTTTAAAAAATGTACATGTTTGCGAACAGATAGTTAGTTCAGAGGACAACAGAACCATGATTCAATACCTCATTTAAGTTACTTAAACGGGATGGGTTAGATATGCAGATCCGTTTACGTAACTTAAGTGGTGTTTTAAATCGACGATTCTGTAGTCTTCTGAACTAATTGTTCGCAAAGGTGTACATTTTCTTAAAGACACACATTTTTTATAAAAATATCATGGGAATTTTGCCTACAACGCCTGGAATAGGAAAAAAGAAAACTCGACCTTCGAGCCTGCGATATTTTGTTGCAAGCGTAATCGAGCGGATCACCAGTTATATTAAAAAATCTCATCGCGAGCATTAATGTCAAGTCATCAGTTAGATTAATAGAAATATAACGTTGAGAACATTAAACGCATCGTTGAGAAATCAAACATATATACTTCAATAATAATTGACGATTTATAAATAACATTGCAAACAAATGTAGATTATAACTTACATGATGTATAAAGTCATACAACGATTTCCATAAAACAAAAGAATAGATAAAATAACCTATACTTTTGCTTGAGGCGCGTATGATGCTTATCATACATATTGTAGAAAGTGGTATTCGAAGCCATCCCTGGGGGGTATCTCACATATGTACACGTGGTTCTGATAAGACAGACGAATGAGCCAAGTAGCCTCCTTGATAGAAAAGGGTTGATGAAGCAACGGACTCCCAACCAATCGACCATACTTGGACTAATAGCGAAAAGCTTGACTCCAAGACGAACATTTTGGTTGTGGAATATTTAAATCTAAAATATCTCAAGTGCTCCACTGTTGAATGCATGTTAGCATACATGTATATATAAGAAAAAACTATGAGCTTTGTTTAGAACACTAGGAGCAGACGCTCATATTGTATTAACATTTTTGAATCTTAGATAGCTTTCGCGAATTCAACTACCAGCCGCTATCGGATCAACCTCCTATTGTATGACTCATTTGACATATTCAAATGAGTCGAAATAGTTTGTTACGCCGTCATCTGATAGGTAGCATTTTACTGTGACATGCTAGTGCTAGGTAAAATATGGATTCAAAGTGATTCACAATTCTCCTTTAAATATTTGGAAAGAGGGTTAGCATATGATAACTTGATCAGAGAAGTTAAAAAAGAATATTCATTTTACATATAAAGTCAGAAAAGCCATTTTTCGGTATGTTAGAATTCCCGTTTAAAGTTAACCTGTTCATAATGGTGCAGAATTATGGTCCACCAAGTAATGGTTGTAACATACGTCGTATTTATTTGTCAGATGCAGTGTAAAGGTAACAGATATGTAATTAGGTCCCTATCAAAACCAAGAGAGGGAGGACCCTTAGGGTTATTATAGTACACGATCCTGTACAGTTCCCTTTAAATACGTGAACTTGATAATAAGGCAGCTTTATGGTAAAACTCTTTATCGTATGATCTGTAGAATGAAGCCTTCTGATTGGTCAGTTTTTGTGCTGTACCAATCTGTATTGTTACTGAGATTGTCAGCATTGATCATCTCCGTCGCAATACAGAAAACATTGGTACGGAGGGGACATTCTCAGATGCAATACAGATGAT